ACATTCCGGCGTTGACTTTTTTCATTTTTTTAAATTATTTTTTTCTGAAATTATTTTCCGTCCCGTCTCTGGATTTGATTTTTTTTCCTTAAAAAAGTATTTTAATTAATATTACTGTCGTGGTTGCTAAATTACTATCTCAGGCAGTAATATTACTGGGTGGGACAATAATATTATGAATATTACTTTCCCGAACAGTAATATTACTAATATTATTGTCCAAACAGTAATATTATTGCATGAGGTAGTAATATTACGGTCGGGACAGTAATATTATGGTTGAAGACAGAATATTACGGTCAAAGACAGCAAAATTACATGCCAAGACGATAACATTAATTAATACACTAAAATTACTGTCCCAGACAATAATATTACTGTATCAGATAGTTAATTACTGTTTCCGACAACTAAATTACTGTAATTTAGCAGGCAAGACAGTATTATTAATTAAAATAATTTTTTTTATAAATTTCAAAAAGAAAAAAAAATCAACTGTTCAATTAATGTTGGAGACAGTAATTTAACAGCCAAGACAATAATATTAATTAAAATAATGTTTAGAAAAAAAAAGGTCAATTAACAGATAAAATTACTGTTTAAAATTACTGTTGGAGACTGTAATTTAACAGTATAGACAATAATATTAATTAAAATATTTCTGAAGAAAAAAAAAATTAGAAAAAAAAAAAAATCAATGTCGGAGACCCAGCAGTCAACGGCGGTTGACCTACCGAAAAAAAAAAGTTTTCAAAAAAACAAAAAGAGACAACGCCAGAGACCGGCGGCTCCGGCAGTGGCGGTTCAAAATTGGGCTCAAAATTGGAATAAATTGGGAGTAAATCAATAAATTGAAGTTGAATTGGGTTTCAAGGAATGGGGGTGATTTTGGTATATATAAAAAGGTTTTCGTTATTTGCAAATAAGTTTAAATGAGCTGGAAATATTTGAAAGACAAAAAAGTTAAATGTCATTTTTTTAATTAAGTGTCCTTATCATGGACCTTTTTGTCATTAACCCTATAAGTAAATGCAAACTTAATGTGAAAGAGAAAAATACCCCAAAACTTTAAACCCAATTCTTAATTGTATCCCCAATTTAATTTTAATTTCATCAATTTTGACAAAAAAAAAAATCTATTTTAACTTTTTTCCTTTTCAAACTTTTTTTTTTCTTTGTTTCTACCGTCAATCTCCGGCCTTGACTTTTATTCGGCGGGGCTAAATACACTTTGCACCCCTGAAGTATAGAATACGTAACATTTACCTCCTTAAAATATCATTTGTAACACTTACCTCCCTCAACATCAAATATTTTATATTCTAAAATTAAAACATAATAAACATAACAATCTAATAATTATTGGATCATAAAAGTTGAAAAGTAACTATAGATAAAATATTCGAAAAAAATAAAAAGTAATATATATTGAATAATAATGAATAAAAATATATTTTAAGAAATTAATGAACTAAAATAAATTTAAATACTTCAAATTACTGATTTCCTGAAATTTATCAATATGAATATATTCGATTAATTGGTCTAATAACAACTAGATGTTATTTATTAAAATATGCACCTAACGAATAACAATAAATGGACTATTAGTCAGAACCCCCTTTATCATTTTTTAATAAAGATGGGTCCAACCACTTTTCTTTTATTAGTGATAGATCCAACTTTTTTTTATTGTCAAATTTACCCTTCATTCCTTATTATTCACTCTCAACTACTTTAATGCCTATTTAATTTTTTAAAATTATACTATTCGTTTATTTATTTAAAAATAATCATTTTAATTTTATTTTCGATTTTAATTTTGAATTTTTTTAAGTTTTTTATTTGAAATCAATTATAAAATTTCTGAAAATAATTATATATATTTTTTCAAATCAACTATTTCTGAAATCAACTATTTCTGAAGTCAACTATTTCCATAATCAACTACAAATTACTGAAAAAATTACTTTTTTTGTTCGTTTATTTCCCTAATCAAATATAATATTTCCGTAAACAACTACATTATTTGCAAAATCAACTATTATTTTTTCAATTTTTCTAATTCAATTTTTCGGTTTTTTTTCCCAGCTGATTTACCAAATCGACAAATTACTACATATTATTGAAAACAACTATAAAAATTGAAATCAACTAAAAACGTCGAAAACAACTAAATATAAATGAAGTACAATTTTTTTTCATTTTTTTAATTCAATTTTTTTCGATTTTATATTTCGAGCAGATCATATTATTGATAAAAACAATAAAAAAAAATTAAAATCAACTACCAAAAAAACCAAAAATCAACTAAAAATGTCGAAAAAAAACTAAAAACTCTCGAAAACAACTATAAACAAAATAGCAGATTAATGAAAAGAACTATATTATTGTGTAACATACCCAACATAAAAAATAGTCAAATAAAAAATTCAGAAAATTGCTCCTCAATTAACAAGATCCAAGCATTAGAGGAACACGAATCATTGCCACAAAATCAATTAGAATGGCCCTCCTCACATCATCCTTGGAACTCGACAATGGAGAGAAATCGTAGAACGAATAAAAAAAACAAAATATAGATTGCGACAACCTGTTAATCCAATCTTCAACCAAACGAAACCCTAAAGGCATGGAAGATATGAGATGACAGCGACGGTGCAGATCTGAATTGGAGTGGAAGTCAGGCGGATGTGTAATGGAGGAGGGGCGGCGGCAGTGCAGTTATGGGGTTCTTCCCTCATCGTTGTCGAGATGTGGTGTCGCCTTCTTTCTCTCCTTGCCGCCGCCTCCGACGCTGCACAAATTTCTAGTTAGAGAAGAAGAGAAGAAGAGATAGAGATAATATTTGACGATACAACGGCTGTTGGGTAAAAAAGACATAGCTAGGGTTTTATGTGTTAATTAGGGATAATACAGGTATAACACCTAATAATTATATAAATATTAATTTAATTAAACAATTAAGGGGGGTTTCACTATTATTGAAAAAGGGAGCGGATCCATCATAATATATCCTAATATATTGGGGGGTTCTCACTAATAATACCAACAATAAAAAATATTATATTTAAATTTTAAAATACTGCATTTTCCAACATATATTTTTAAGGATAATGGCAAATAGGCCCATGGCAAGGACACTTCATTTAAAGAGGGACATCCAACTTTTTTGTCTTGCAAATAAATTCAGCTCATTCAAACTTATTTGCGAATAAATAAAATCCTTTTATATATACCAAAATTACCCTCAATTCATTGAAACCCAATTCAACTCCAATTTCATGATTTACACCCCAATTTAGCCCAATTTCATCAATTAACCAATTTTAACCCTAATTTTATTTTTGACCCCAATCTTGATCCGCCACCACCGAAAACCGTCAGTCAGCCGCCGTTGACCGCCAGTCTCTGGCGTTGACTTTTTTTTTTTTTATTCTTTTTTTATTGAATTTTTTTTTCGAGTAGGTCAACCGCCGTTGATCGTCGGTCTCCAGCGTTGACATTTTTTTTAAATTTTGTTTTTCCTTAAATAAAAAGCATTTTAATTAATATTACTATCTTGGCTACTAAATTACTGTCTGCAACAGTTATTTAACTGTCGAAGACAATAATTTAACTGTTAATTGACTTCTTTTTTTTTATATATTTTAATTAATATTACTGTATTTGTTGCTAAATTACTGTCTCCAGCAGTTATTTAACTGTCGGAGACAGTAATTTAACTGTTAATTGATTTTTTTTTTAAATATTTTAATTAATATTAATATCCCTTGGTTGCAGCTAAATTACTGTCTCCAGCAGTTATTTAACTGTCGGAGACAGATATTTAAGTGTCAATTGACTTTTTTATTTTCTTTTGAAATTTTTGATTCTTAACAAAAAATATTTTAATTAATATTACTGTCTTGACTGCTAAATTACTGTCTCCAACAATAATTTAACTGTTTCAGACAGTAATATTAATAATATTATTGTTCAGAAAATAATATTCATAATATTATTTTCCCAAACCGTAATATTACTGTCTAAGACAGTAATTTAGTAGCCAAGACAGTAATATTAATTAAAATATTTTTTCTCAGAAAAAAAAATTCGAAAAAAAAGTCAACGCCGGAGACCGGCGGTCAACGGTGGTTGACCGGCCGGAAAAAAATTTCAGAAAAAAAAAAAGTTTACAAAAAAGAAAAAAAGTATCAACGCCGGAAGCGGGCCGGAATAAAAAAATCAGAAAAAAAATGTTTAAAAAAAATTCAAAAAATTATTAAAATGGGGGTTAATGTGATATATTTGTTTAAATCCGGGGTCAATGTATAATATTAAGAAAGTTAAAGCATAATAGATGAAATTGATAAGAATTATATTATGGAGGGTATTTTAGACTAAAGACATGAAGATGAGTTTATTTGATAAACTATTTTTTTTGGACCAATGTGCATTTGCTTATTTGTCATTCGCCCTTTTTTAATTGTATACTTTAATTATTCTTTTAAATGAAAAAAGAAAATTTTAATGTACTAAGATTTAAAATACAAATAAAATTGAGCTGCAAGTGTTCCATATGTTATTTTAGGGCCCACTCCATATGACGTAACAAGTTTTCAGTTGTGGTACAGCAGAGATTTTCCTTGTTTTGGTTGAAAATAAAAAAATAAAAAAAGACGGCTGTTTTTTCGTATTTAACATTCAATGTACCTCTGGAATTGGGAGCCAATCATAGCTAAGCTACTTTTCTTCTGTCTTCTTGTCGTACAGGGATTGGGCCAGAGATAAGGGAACATAGCGTGGTCTGCTTCCTATATACGCCCCCGTAGCGCCACGTGTACACTCCTTTTATTATATATATATATATATATATATGTATATTTTTTTTTATCATAATATTATATATATATTTTTTAATTAATATACACACGTTAGTAATCGCACATATATATTAGTATTATTTATTAATTTTTTGTTTTAAAAATTAAAAGTCACAGCAAAGGAGAATTACTCCCACAGTTCACTCAAAGATGATTCCAATTATCCTCCCATACAGAGTCCCCCACTCCTCCTCTAATAAGTGAACAACACACATACACACACACACTCTATGAGAAACAAGAATTTACTGGCTGAGTAAAGGCGGCTGTTTTTTTAACCACAAAATAAATTACAAAAGTTTATTTTATTTTCTCTCTCTAGAAAAGAACAAAGAAAAGGGAGAGAGAGAAAGAGGGATTTCCGTTTGTTTACCGAAGATGGGGAGAAAGAAGCTGGAGATCAAGCGAATCGAGGATAACAGTGCGAGAATGATTTGTTTTTCCAAGAGAAGAAATGGTCTGGTTAAGAAAGCCAAGGAGTTATCTGCTCTCTGCGATGTCGACGTGGCCGCCATTTTCTTCTCCAAGAGGGGAAAGCTTTATGAGTATTGTAACGCTAATAGGTAATTAACACCGCCTAATCTTCTTTTCTTTTCCTTAATTATTTGAATTATGTTTTTGTTTATATACATAGAGTTGAAAATGTTGGTTATCTCTAAAAAAAAAAAAAAGAAATTGTTGGTTGGTGGGAATTTCAAAACCCTAGTTCTCACATTCCTAAAATAGAGGAATTAATAAGGGGACGGGTAATAAAATTACTATTTCGGTACTTGAAAATTAAAAGTAGTCCTATGGTGGTGGAGGACTCAAATATTCCTTAAAAAATTGCTCTTGCAATTTCATCGTGATTTAAAGAAAAAAAGGATAAAGACTTCTCAACATATTACAAACATAAAGATATAATAATTTATTAAAAGCCGAACCGATATGCACCGTTTTGACTTAAAACTGCATATACGGTAATTTTTTTTATAAAAAAAACCCAAAATATCGATTTGTGTATGGGGAATAAAAAATTACCGAACAAAACCAATTTATAAAAAAATACGTCTCTTTGATATATAGTATAAATATTTACCGTCTTCCCCTAGCTGCTCTTTTATCCTTCGAACGCCTCCACGTAACGCCTCCACGTGACATGTTTTTTATTAGTTAATTTTGGGTTGTTATTTGTTAATTTTTTCAAACAAATGTAATGAAAGTCCAAATTCACTGTAAATCAAATATCGTTTTTTTATGGCGAATCAATAGACGAAACCGAAACCGAAAACAAACTGAATAGATACCGAAACTGGTTAACACCGAACCAAATAAACCCGACATGTTCGGTTGTTAAAATATGAAATACCAATATTGTCGGTACGTGTTTGCTGTATTGCAAAACCGAGCCGTACCGAGCCGTGCACGCTCCTACACAACATTAGCATTTGTCATTCAATCATTGGAAAAAAAAATGATATATTAACTCGGGAAAAAAGTTGTTTCGTACTAGTATTTAATTTGTTAATCACGAGTTATCCTCGTGCATATGACGAGCTTTGTTGAATCACAATATAACTTTCCATCTTTGTATAAGCGTTTCATAAATTATTTTATAATAATATTATTATTTGTAACATATTATTTATTTTAATGCTTGTACGTACTATAACAAATTTAATATCAGTAGAGAATATTATTGTTATTTAAGATAAGAATAATATTTTATTCTTTTTACCATGTCAAGTATTATTTCATAATAAATAAGTAAGGGAGCCTTTGAAATTATTATGATAATTCTTAAATTTTTTTTTCACCTTGTATTAATTTTAAAAAATAGGGATGGACAATAAGAGCAAGCTGTTGCTTAAGGGTGTGTGTGGTATTTTTGAATGTTGAATAATGAAGTTGCAAGCAAACAGTTATTTTTAATTTCTTTTTTATGACACTCGTGCCGAAATACATGTAATGTTTCAATTTATACATTCTTGACGCTGGTAGGTTTCTAACTGTAAGATCCTCCGCTGGTAAGTTTGTGCACATGACCGTTTTTGTACTTTTAATATAAGCACGTAACCCTCTATGGTATTCCACTTGGTAATCAAGACACGAGTTCAAATGAAAAATTCGAGCTTATTTAGAAGTTCATGTCGTTTATTGGTTGATTGATCACATTTTTTTAAGACTTCCATATGTACGAGCAAGATATAATTTTATGTTATTTTTTAATTGAAAAATGGACAGATGGATATTGTACGTACTAGCGATGTAAGATCCAAAACATATTGTACTTTTGTAAGGAATGAATGTACTATAAACTATTTATAAAAAAAAAATGTACTACAAACTCTAGACAATTTATGAATGTGTCCTTTTCTACTTTCCAATATTCCATGTTTGATAAGTACAAATGATTTTGTTTCGTAGTGAAAGATCATTGCATTTCTTCTTGCCTTAGCTTTATTCCAATTGCATTCTTATTTTTCTTTTGGTTGTAGCTTAATATTATTTTGTTTTTGCATGAGCATTCATGTTTATTGTTGTTGTTTTTGTTGTTAAACAGCATGGCGCAGGTCCTGCAACAATATCAAAGTCGAGTCGAGAGTGGGAAAGATGGTTGCGATACAAAGGTAAGATTCACGCCTCCGACAATAGATTTTGGAAGAAAAAAAAAACAAAAAAAGAAAAGCTGAATACACAGGTCTTACTCGAGATTTATATTGTCAAAATGTGGATCATTACTGAAATTTGAAGCATTGTCAATTATCAATTAAGGAAGATAATTTCGTAATCTTTCACGTCTGTCATATAACTACATGATTGGTGATATTAATAAATACACGAGTTTGATTGATAATATTTATTCTTGTGAGATATGTGGTGTTTGGAACTTTTGTAGTCATCAGTCTCGTGTGATATTTGAGGCCTAATAATTCTTCCACAAATAGAAATAAATCTACAAACGGACGTAATACATTACTTCGAACTAAAGTAGGAAGGCCATTTTTTGTTTGAAGTAAAGTCTCTAAGCTACGTATGGATGGTAGAGGTTTCAAATCCATAATAACAAATTTCTTGCACTTGTTTGGATTGAGAGATTTGATGAAGAATTTCAAATCCACACTCCTCCTTTTTAGTTATAAATTGGGTCATTCGTGTTGATTTCAAATGACTACAAATCATAGTCATTTCAACTCTTCCACAAATCAAATCCTTCTATCCAAATGGAGCCTTAGGCAGTTTGGACTCATGGATTTAAAACAAGTCCAAATGAAGAGATTTGAGATCCCCACAACTGCTCTAAAATGATAGCTATGGATATAAAATTCCTAAATCAATTCCTTCTATCCGAATGTACCTTAAGTTTAATTTTTCATTTGGAATTCCTTTTCTTTTTTCTTTTTAATTTAGTCGTTTTTAATATATGCTTTATCTCGATTCTATTCGTCTCTATGTTACTCTTCGTTACCTCGTTCCCGTTCACTCTCGCTCTGGATCAAGTGTTCCTTTTCCAAAATCAATTAGTTTAATTATATATGCCTACAAAATCTGGTCACATGAGAGAAGATTTTATGTTAGAGATCATGATACTTTTGGTAGATTGGTTTAGAATTTCTTGCCATTTGCTCGCTCTCTTTCTGGATATGTGATCTCTTAATTTTCTAACACATAACGATAACTTAGTTGACCTATCTAGTTGATTTTAGTCAACCACCAATATCCATTCATATATACGTTTATGCACCTTAAGTTGGAACTGCGTAAGTTACGTAACACTTCCCTCGAGCTAGAGTCTATGAATAAGTGGCATAATTAATTGATAGCAGTGTCAAGACAGAGCAATAAGAGTAGTAATAACCGCATAAAAGACAACACCAAGAGTGACACAAAACGAAGAGGACTAGTCAGAAATTATGGTTTCAAATTCGGTTTTGAGATTATTTTCAAGATGTTCCAACTCTCTCTGGATACACTCGACACCATGGTAAAATAGAAACAGCAGGGTTGGTCAGACGAAATATTATAGAAATGCTAGAAATATAATAATATTATAGAAAGAGCCGTCTCCCTTTATAAGAGATGGGAACATAGTTTTAATAAAGAAGTTCTTCAAATTATACACATATAAGGGCATTCATTTCACACGGTGATTTGATTGATTGGGCAGGATCTGCTGTACTCCAGAAACGGTGATTATCTTACATATAGTGAGCTTCTCAAAACTGTTGGAAGGTAACTCCCAATTTTGAATAATTTAATTTTGTTTTTGTTGCAACACTTTCGGGGTTGTTTACTCACAAGTTATATTTCTTTCCCATAGTGAACTTAAGGAGCCACATGTTGACAAGATAAGTGTGGCGGACCTTGGGCTCATGCAGAAACATCTTGAGACTGCATTAATGGATATACGTTCGACTAAGGTTTCATGTTTTTTTTCGATTGCCTATGTTTTTTTTTTTGTTTTTGACCAAGCAAAGCTATGATACATTTGTCTTAAAACAATGATATTCTTGTTAGCTTTTATCTCGTAAAGTTTGTTCAAGAGCCATTTCATGAACTAGAGAAGTTAAATTCATATGGTAGTTTTTGTTTACCTTTTTTGATGAGCTGAGCTTATGTGGCAAGAATGTTCGAACCTCTTGAATATTAGTAGACTTCTTTCCAGTTTCTTGTGAACCTGTAAAAACTTATTAAAGTTAAGTTCCATTCATATAACATTGTGATGTCAGAATTTATTTTATTACTTCATGCAGACAAAAATGACGAGGGATGCTCAATCAAGCCTTCAGGAAAAGGTTCGCAAATCTATTTTTGCCACTATTATATTTCAGTGTTCTCCAGTGTGTGTGTGTGTGTGAAAAAAGATAAAAGCTTAGATGTTATTGCGGAGAATCGGTAGATGTTAAGTAAGATAAGTGCTTACAACAGCTTATATTATGTGAACAGGAAAAGATGCTGGAAGAAGAAAAAAAACATTTCAACGAGGTTATTAAAGTTGAAACCCTGAATATAAATTTCAACGAGGTTATTATCACAAAAATGAATTTATAAATTATAAATTGTTTACATATTACAGATTGTTGAAGGCAGTAAGTGTGCTAGGAAAAAGAAGGTGGTGATAGATCTCAACATTGCCGCAGACGACAAATAGAAGCAGCATACAACACCGGACCTAGCTCGATCAAACTTTTATGTGCAAAATAAAAATAAAATATCTGCCGAATCATAAGAATGCATGCAGGTATAAATAAAAGGTGCTAGAGGAATATGGACCTACCTCTTTACTTGTTGCATGGTGTGTAAGCTGCTTGAACCCTCTTCTGTATTCGAGCTTTTGTTAAATATTGCTATTAAATATTGCTCTGTTTTTAACGGTTGAACATATATGGGATATATGCTTTGCTTTTATCATTGCATACAAAAACAAAACAATATCTACAAACGTGGTAGAATAATCTTCACCTGAAAAAATTAGGCTTCCTTTAGTAGTTGACGTGGATTCACATTGCAGAGAAAGAAAAGAAACTAGATGAATGCATATTTTCCCGACATATTTTCACATTGCTCAATTTTGTTTATGAAAATAGAGTTTAAGTGTTGAGAGAAAACGAGCTTGCCCTGCTCATATATATGAGCAAAAGTTCAAGCGACGGTGAGATCTCAAAACAGACGTCCAACAACTAATTGGTCCAAGGTTGTTGGAGTTTGATTACCCTACAGACCTAAATGTGGCACTGTCGAGTTGGTTTTCAAACCACGTAAACAGTTACCAAGTTCTACCAAGTTCTATCCAATTTTTAGAAATTCATTTTCGCAAACTGCATAACTACTCACCGACGGAACGGAGACATCCATTCCGGAGCTCGAAAAGGACCAAAATAACCCTGTACATGGTGCAAATCAACCCGAGACAGAAATCACCAATCTATACAAATCAACTAGATAAAATAAAGAAAATTAAATGTGCAGTTTATGGAAGATATCATACAGAGATGGTGAAATTGAGCGGATCCATTCTCGATTTCAGCCACAATCTCAATCATTGAAAAATCATAAACAAAATTGAGAAAAATATCAACCCGCCCAACTTGTTTGTATTTCTTCTCATATTCACACACACACACACACACACACACACACACACAGTCACACGCACGGATAAATTCAGCCACCCCCACACCTCATCAGTCATCACCTTTGGATAGGATTCAAGTTTCCATTATTACACCTTCATCACCGACATAGAATTTCTGCTGCTATCTAAGAATTGGCAGAGAGAGAGAGGAGAGAGAGGGGTTAAAGATGAGCTATTATTTGACAAGTGTCTGATTGATGCTTTATACTAAATTATTATTATATTTGGCCCTACCTCAAAAGATTGCCTGCCTCCCTCTATTACTTGTTCATACTAAACGCACTGCACGTGGCGGCCGATGCTTATCTTTTTGGGGTTGTCTAGGGTCCGAGAGGGTTTGTACACCCAAACGATTGAATATCAACCAATAAGAATATGACACGTATGATTAGAACGAATCCCATTAAAAATAGTACGAAGCGTGGGTTACTAATAAAATTACATAAATACCCTTAAAACTAAAATTTAATTAAATATTAAATATTAATGACTTTTCCAAAAATAAAAGTATTAAAAATTACATCGACGAATGTGAAGTTACCTTCAAGCCTTCAAGCCTGTTTGTTGATACATCGACGAATGTGAAGATAGCGTGCCCCAATCCCGCCGGAATATTCCCCGTCAGCTGATTATGTGAGAGGTAGAGATAGAAATTCTGCTGCCGGAAATCGGCAAAAGATGCCGGGATATCTCCGGTGAGTTTGTTCCGGTCCAAAAGGAGGCCGTCGAGGTTCGGGAGCTGGGAGAGCGACGCCGGAGAAGTTGTTGAACGACAGCCCAATGTACGCTTCTTGAGTTTGCTGAGGAACGATGGAACATGGCCGGTAAGAGAATTCCACCGGAGATCGATCGAGAAAGTTGAGGTAGGTAAGCTTGGTTTTGGATCCCGGGATTTGACCGGTGACGTTGACTTTGTGGAAAGCGAGGCTTTCGAGATACTTGAGGTCTCTGATGGACGCCGGAATGGGGAGGCCGAAGTTAGCGGCGGAGGTGTGGAATCCGGTTATGCGGTTGGTTTTGTGTTCGCAGTCCACCGTGGACCAGGTGCAGCAGTCGGTGGTCGGATCCCATGAGATTAATCGCAGGATTGTTGAGGGGAAGAAATATGTGAGGTTTTTTTATTTAATGTGTAATTTTGTTAATTAATTATGATTACTATAATATTTTTTAATATATATTTTAATTTATTGATTTGAGTTTATAAGGGTAATTGAGTAATTTATATAAAGTACGATGTGTGTACGGTGTGTTTTTAGTGGGTTCGTACATTAAATCTTCAATTGCTAGTGTCGTACTAGATCATACTTAGGTCGTACACAAAATCAATGGATGAGATGACAATTTTACTATTTTATACGCACCAGATCTAATCGTTCTGGTCCGAGAAGTACAATCCCTCTCGGACCGTAGACAACCCCTATCTTTTTTCATAACTGGCAGCCGAAGCTTTATCAGTTATCACAACTATATTTAAATATCCGAGTAAACTGCAAAAAGTACCCATGTATAATCTCTAAATAGCAAAAACCCCCTTGTCATAAATAAATTAGTAAAAACTCCCCTATGAAATTTAGTCAAAGGCAAAAACCCCCTTAGTTGACTTAAGTGTGGCTCACTCGCGGGTTGCGCGACTGGTAGTTGGTTTTTGAACGTGAAATGACAAAATTGATTGTTTAAAAATTAAAATATTGTTAAAAAAATAGTAAATAATTAAATTGAAAAATTATTAAAAATTTGTTAATCAAATTAAGTATATATTTTTTTAAAATACATAATAATAGAATTTAAGTTTTCTTTTGATGTAGGGATAATTTAAAATATATACAAAAATTATGTGATAATAAAAATAAAAATAAATTAAAGACTCATTGTACCTTTATAATTAAGATATAACAAAAATAAAATAATTAAAATATTTAAAAAAATATAAGAATTTATTAATTGCAAAATTCCAGGGGTATTTGTGTCTTTTTATGTGAAGTCAACACTCAAATGAGTAATGGGCCGAGTGTGCTATTTAAATAATTTCACAGAAGGGTTTTTGCTAGTTTATTTATCATAGGGAGCTTTCGCTATTTAGAGATTACACAGGGATAATTTTTGCAGTTTACTCATAAATATCCATCAAATAAAATCAGAAAAGAAAAGGTGCAGTATCTTATAAAAAGAAAAGCCTTTTAATCTTCCTCGTAATTAATCTAATAAATAAATTGCACCTATCATTCCTTAGGTTAAGTATAATTATCGGTAGACCCCTACAGTTTGGAAAATTACACATACATTCTAGAGTTTTGATGATATTAGATAACATTTAAGTCATGGCACAAGACTTCCTAAACGCTTTGCACATTTTGACTATTGATTTTTGAAATTTCATTTTTCACCCTTAACCAAATATTAAGTAGAAGTAAATTAAATGGTAAATTACGAAAAAAAATCATGATGTTTGGATAATTACAACCCGGTTATTAAAATCGTACGATTTATGATTCAAATTGTACGATTCGATTCATTCGACCTAATAACAATAAATATCTGCATTCACAAATACTATAAACTAAATGATAATAAATCAGATTTTTTTTAATAACTTTTTATTTTTGTTGTATTAATTTTTTTTGTCAAGTCTATTTACTATTAAATTTAAATATTAGCATGTTAATCGGAGTAACTTTTGTAGTTATATATTTAAGGGCAAATGACAAATAGGCCTATGACAAATGCACTTAATTAAAAGAGGGACATCCGACTTTTTTGTCTTTCCAATAAATCAAGCTCATTCAAACTTATTTGCAAATAAGCAAAATCCTTTTATATATACCAAAATTACCCCCAATTCATTGAAACCCAATTCAACTCCAATTTCATGATTTACACCACAATTTAGCCAAATTTCATCAATTAACCAATTTTAACCCTAATTTCAATTTTGACCCGCCACCACCGGAGACCGCTGGTCAGCCGTCGTTGACCGCCGATCTCCGGCGTTGACTTTTTTTTTGAATTTTTTATTCCGGTAGGTCAACCGCCGTTGACCCTTTTTTTTTTTTTGTAAGACAGTAATTTAGTAGCCAAGACAGTAATATTAATTAAAATATTTTTTTCTAAGAAAAAAAAAGTCAACACCGGAGACCGGCGGTCTCCGGCCGTCAACGGCGGAATCTGGCCGGAAAAAAAAATCTGAAAAAAAATTATTTTCTGAATTTTTTTTTTCAAAAAATTATTATTTTGGGGGTTAATGTGATATATTTGTTTAAACCCCGGATCAATGTGTAATTTTAAGGAAGTTAGAGCATAATGGATGGAATCGATGCTCCCAAGCATCCCTGGAAATCCACGTTGCTCATTGACTTGCAATAATCGAGATAAATCGTCCTAATTTGGTGCTCTTAAGTATTTTTTTTCTGAAAATGGCAACAATCGCTTTCACAAAATGTCGTAAACTTTCAATAGAAGTACTCTGACCTATGCGTATGCGGTCATCCAAAAGATCGGCAGGAACTCCATATGCGAGTATTCTATATGCAGCAATTACTTTCTGAAGAGATGATAAACCAGGAACGCCTAGAGCATCATTTCTTTGAACAAAATAGGGATCGTAGGCCTCAACGCTAGAAATAATCCGAGAGAATAGGGGTCGGCACATACGAAATCGTCTCCTAAATTAACCTGCATGATACGCAGGATTATCAAAAAAATAATCACAATAGAGTCTTTTGTGACCTTCGGCTCTGTCACGATTGACTACGCTTCGACCCGGAATTGACCCGCGGTAATGCCTATGTTGTCTTTCTCTCTCCAATTCCTCCTCTTCGGCAACCGTTAACAACATTTCAAGATCATCGGAATCCGAGTCGGATAAGAAATTCATTAAATTAATGTGACCATGCATGATGAAATGAAGAAATACAAGATAATGGAGTTTTAAAACAAGTGATGTAGTCGAGGATCTACATCACAAACATTTTATTATATATCATGTAGAGGCAAAAAAATAGAATCAATGTAACCAAAAATTATGAAAATATGGCTTGAAGAAATCAAACTAAGACTTTGTCATAAATTATTTAATTTATACGTAATAATATTTTTGGTACAATTCAGTCAAAGTATTGCAAATTTGTGGAGATTTGGATTGTTCAATTTTAAATCTCAGTTGTGGTATACACACATGCACATGATAAAATCGTTTTTTTTTTTTGTTTTTGTTTGAAAAGGTAAAATCTTGATTAATATTGATATTGATGAAATTTTACCAAAAAAATCGGTTTGTATAGTTATTTAAAATAGATTACAAAATAAATAATATATAAATAATCATAAATTTGTTTGATTGTGGTTGAAGTTTACTAGTTGTATAGAGATATCAAAATATAATTCTGGTTATCAAATGAGTATTTTGATGTCAAATGAGTATTTGATAACCCCATTTGATAACAATGGGTTGGAGTTGCTCTAAAGCTGGTGGAGAGTTCGATTCTTATATATAATTAATATATCTTATACATAATATAAAGAAACGCTAGGGTAACCTAAGAAACCCTAATGGCATATTTGTAAAAATAAATTAATTCATGTGCAAATATAATTTTTTAATCTCCTATTTTGTAGCTATTTTTTTGTAATTACTTTAAAACAAAATCTCGACTAGGACAATCATAATCCACTACATCTATATTTTTTTAATTATTATTATTATTATTATTATTATTATTATTATTATTATTATTATTATTATTATTATTATTATTATTATTATTATTATTATTATTATTATTATTATTATTATTATTATTATTATTATTATTATTATTATTATTATTATTATTATTATTATTATTATTATTATTATTATTATTATTATTATTATTATTATTATTATTATTATTATTATTATTATTATTATTATTATTATTATTATTATTATTATTATTATTATTATTATTATTATTATTATTATTATTATTATTATTATTTTCCAGCCTATGTTTTCTAAAAAAAATATGCTTCATTTATTTTATGATATATTTCATATTATGACAATTAAGATTTTATTATTTTTTTAAATCATGAGTTCGTATTATTAAATTCGTATAAATGTTGATGTTGTTATCGATATCACTAATAAATTTAATTATAATTGTTATTATCATGTATTAAA